CACACGCTGTGCTTGTGGCTCTGGAGCTCATGTTGCCTCTCTGTTGCTTTGCTTTTTGCTTATGATTAGAAGGAGATGTGGCGTTTCCTGCAAAACAGCTGCTAGTATTCCCTGGTGACCAGTCAGAGGATCCAGTGGAATTACAGATTCAAAGGCAGACCTAGAGGACTCTGGCAGCTGCAGCAGAGGTTTTGGGGAAAGGTAAGGGGTTGCATTGTGTAGGATGCAGGAAGGAGGATTAGAAATGGAGTACAAAGGCATGGGAGAGACGCTCTGGAGATTCAGGGACTGTAAAGTCTCCAACAACATAAGGACTTCACATCTATGAACAGTTCATATTTGGCTGAGAAAGTTGGACTATATCCATGTTTCCATAGGATGTGGAGAATCTCCTGGAATGATTTAAGATCGTTTGCAATGCCACTGATGCTGAGTTTGGAGTGCGCGTTAGGACGATATGTAGCGTTGGGCTTTTAGAATCTTGCCGCTAGAGAAAATAACACGTATTGATCTGAAATTGATTCCTTTAGAAAGTGCAGTTAATTTGGTGAGAAAGTGTTAAACTCCCCTCCGAGATTAATGTCATTAATACATTAACTGTTTGACAGCAGAAGTCACATGTTGCTTGTCACTTGCTGCAGTGGCTGCACTGAGACAGCTGAGAGGTTGCAGAAGGATTAATGCGGTAAAGAGGATTGTAACTTTGATTGTCTTCTCTCTGCTCTTGGATTTGACAGCAACTGGTATTTAGAAGCAAAACAGAATATGTGTTGTTATTTATGTGGAATGTAAACATCCATTTGGAAGTATTTAAATGAATCTGAAAAGTTCTCTTTCATATGTCAAACTTGAGCACACATTCATAGCATTGCAGGCTTCTGCAGAAACTGTAGAATTTAGATTAGAATGTAGAATTTAGGTTAGTATCTTATCAGTGATAACTGATTTTCTAGTTGCCTTGCAGGTTTTTTCTTTTTTTTTTTTTTTTAGGGGTAAAAATTTTGATTTTACTTTATGTTCATTTATGTCCAGTGACTATGCCACTTCTCTATGTAAACAGGGACAGCCATGTCCAGAGTTGTGTGTGCACGAGTTCACCTGCCCTGCAAGATCTAATCTGTCTGCACATGAACTGCAAACGGGCATAGAAATTTTTACACAGATGGCTTCTTGTCTCCTGAATGTGTTGGTTTGTGAATATCTAATTTTATAACAGCTATTTCATGTGCAGATGTCTATTATTCACATACTAATTTATTACATGGGCTGTATAATAGCAGATTTCTATATTGTGTGTAATTCCTTGTATATAAGTAAAATATGAATAGACAAATTAGTAGAAATTTTTACAAAACAGAGGTGACCAGGAAACTCAGTTTGATAGAGGAGCACTGCCACCCTGGTTTAGGCAGTTGATTTTGACAGCTGACAGCCTTTGATATGCTTTGTCATACATTCCCATTATTTCTCTTTGAAACTTATTACTGGTGTCTAAAGCTGATTCACTACCACATACACAGTAAGGAAGGAGAAAGTGAGAGGCAATGCAATAGTTGTTGAGAAGGAATATATCAATATTTAGTTACGATTTCTGGCTCCACCATCGAGATTTGTCTATGAGGCTTCATGCCTTTGGCAAGTCCAGCCTCCTGTGGCCATGCTTGCCCGGCTCAAACGGTGGTTTTTCGCCCCCATGGCAGGAGTTACTCTTCCAGCTCTCCACTGTGACCCTACCTGCACGGTGTTGCTGCTGTCTTCTCCTGCCAACACTGAAGTGACGTTCGCTTATGTGAGTAAAGGTGCAAATTTTACCTGTGCAAGCAGTGTCAGAGAACAGCGATGGTTGTGTGGCACTGGCTGTTTGCATTCTTCCTTCTGTATGACTTTACAGTGGTCATAATTTCCATTTTGCTTCTAGGAAACTTTAAGAGAAGCTGGGTAATGCTGATAATTCTCAAATGTGTATCAGAGTTTGTCTAAAATGTGGAAGACTTTCTGTAGCTGGTGTTTTGGGGGAAGAGGGGAGTTTGAGGAGGTAAAAGGAAACACCAAATATAGCAGTAGGTTCTGATCACAAGAATGACCACTGATCTGACACCCTCAGATAAAATAAGTAATGTTGTAATCTTTTCCTTCCCTATCTTTTAAGTAAACATTTATTTTAAACGGTGGGATGCATTTTTTTACATTGTTGTATCACAACAGTGCCTCTTCCACCATTTTCTATGTTATAGTAGAAAAATCTAAAGTTAATGTACTTGTTTGCTCTTGGGAATTAATAAATTGAGACAATTGTCTAGGGAAAAGCACCAAACATTTAGCTTGACTAAAAATCCAGTGTAAAGAGACTGTTAAAAAATAACTGGCTATGGCATGTGATACTTAGATGACTTTAAAATATAATTTTAGATGGCCAGTATCTTGAATGTCTGTCGTTACGGAAGGTTAATTTTAATAGCAGAGTAGTGTGTTTCACTTCCAAATATATCCATAGGGATGATATCGAAGACACTGTTTACTAGAAGGCAGTTGGTTTTGAGAAAACCAGTAGCTGTGGTGAAGATTGGAGTAATGAATCCTGAATTTATATATATTATAAAATATATATATTATATTTTATATAATTTGTGTATGGAAATCATGTTTTTTCCCATGTCTCACTTTAAATACAGCTTAGTTTTGTTGGTTACATCGCAGTTCCTTTTCATCAGTCCTCAAGTAATTAATAAGAAAGTTGAAAACTTTTCTTAAGCTGATTTAAATTAAGTAGTTGCTGAGGAGGTTGGTGAATCTTGAAACAGTAACTATTTAACTATTTAAGTTATTTAACGCAATAAATACTCTGTGAATGGAACTCTGCATTTCAGAGGCAGATGCGTAGCTTACACGGTTGTTGCCACAAATGTGAGGTGAAATGAATGTAAATTAACTGCATCTTGCAAAGGCAGAGGCTGCACGCTGAGGTGTGTGGCGGGGGGAAAACTGGGAAATGACAGTTGGCATTTGGGGTGTTAGGGGAGCTACTTTCTGTATTTAAAAAAAATTAAGACTCTTTCGTTCTTCAGTTGCAGGAGAATCTGGAAGGAATTTCAGGTTGTGTAATTAAAGTTGTGAATATGAAGATATGGAAGAGCTTGATCTTTAATAGAAAATGCCTTTATTTAGTCACTGGAGATAGAAACAGTTTGGAATATTCTTTAGTATTTTTTTTTTAGCATTTATCTTTATTCTTGAGGTATTCGCCTATTGCAAATTAATCATGGATGAATCCTGCTACTGGCAAGTTTTTACTTGTGAGGATGCCAGACAAATTGTCATGTTTTGATTCTCTGTGGGAAAATTTTTCTTAGTTATCCTTGAAATACCAACCTAGCAAGCGCCGGGCTGCTGATGTCAATACAAAACCTTCCTTGGCAGCAGCAGGTCGCTGCTGCTTCCTTAGCCAGCTCTTGGCCGACGGGGCGATGCTGTGCAAGCTCGAAGAGTAGCACCCACTTGGATTCGTCAAGTGAAGTGCTGAAGGCTTTAGGCGAGATAAAATCTCCGCGTGTTGAAGGAGAAACTCAGCTTGCCCGAAGCTCTCGGTCTGTAATTACATCACGCTTGCTAGGTTTGACTAGTGTGTCAGTGGTGGTGGTACCCGGCCGGCCCCCGCGTGGAGGCCCTCGGTGCCGGGGGGCCAGCGAGCCGGAACCGCTGGCGCGGGGCCCCGGCC